TTTCTTTCCCTCAAAATATTGTCCTATCAGCATATTAGTCTAAATTTTAATTCATTTGACATTCTTCCAGTGGTCTGGGCATCTTTCCACAAACTGACTGACTCTTATTGCCCCCTGTCCGAATCCTCCTTGCTTCCACCCTGCCTTACAGATGCATGTAAAACATACCAGCTAGTTAAAAGACTCAAAATTTACTTCTGGTGCTCTACTAACCTCCCCTTTTTCTTTTTCTCCTCCTCTTTTTCCTCTCCTCTTGTTTTCCCTCCTTTCTCTTGCTGCTGCAGAGCGTCTCTACAGCCAACTTGAGCGAAACCGCGTGCTTTCTAATGAGCTGAAGCTAACGCTGCATGATCTGTGTGACTGACGGGCAGGGCTCACTGATGCCCGTTAAACCGAGCTAACTGCTCACATCACTGACCTGGACCCCAGCAAAAAAAGCTGATGCCTTTTTTAAAGTTACTTTCCCCCTAGCAAACCGTAGCATTAAGTTGTTTTTCATATGGGGCACTTAGAATATTAACTGACTCTTTCTGATGTATTTTCTTTCTAAAAGCTTTTTCTAAGTGGATTTTCTCAGCATTGTAAATTTGAGACAGTAAATACATGTGTTTCTATTCCTTTTCTAGAAAGACATGATGGGTTGATAGAGGGATCTTAGAGAGTTAAAGTGCTAATAACACTGGAAAATTTTGTCTTTATCCATATTTGTTCTTTGACTTATACCCTGACTGCAGGATATGTTCCCTTGCATGGATGTTTTCTAACAATAAAAGGACTGACTTGACAAGATGTTGTAACTGCTTTAAGGGATGGGCCTTTCCTCCTGACTGGGTGGAAACAAAAGGAAGGGAAGGAAAGGGATATAGGCTATGAATATGGATCTGGTTACAGTCCTCTGAGTTGAAAACTTGTCTTCCCATCCTCCTTAGAGCGATTAGTTGTTGCTTACTGGGAAGATTAGATTCTTGTGCTGTTATACCAGTAGGTTTTTTCCTCTGACATTCTCCCTCTAGCTTTGTGTTTCATTGCTTGTAACTCTACTACAGGCTAGTTCTGGGCAGAAAAGGAACATAAAAACCAACTGCTACTAAGCCAGTTCTGACTCAAGACCACTCCATAGGTATTAGAGTAGAACTGTGCTCCTTAGGATTTTCAATGGCTGATTTTTCTTCAGAAGTAAATCACCAACCCTTTCTTCCAAGGTGTCTGTGAACTCAACCCACCAACCTATTGATTACCAGCTGGGTGCTTAACTGTGTACACCACCAGGGACTTTTGTATAGTAGCTCTGCAAAAATACGAGTTAACATTTTGCTAAAAAATATGTGTGTCTAATGTTCTTGGTTTAGTTTTGTTTAGGTATTCGTTGAGTTAGTTGTAGGGGCTCTTTTCATTTCCCTAACCATTATTCCTTTCTTCTCTTACTTTTGGGAGAGAGCCTATGGCACATGAAGATCCTTCTGTGCTCTTTTCAAGTTGAGGTGCTGGTGTCCTACAATGTCGAAATAATGCCTATCTTTGTTCTTAATGGTCAACCCCCAAGTGAGCTATTTCTAATAGGCATTCTTTTGTGGGTAAAGCCTGGACGAGTTGATGGCTAAAGTTTAAAGCCTACTCCTTCAGTGACTGAAAGCAGAAAGCTTTGGTTGGTGTGAGAGAGAGGAAATGACTGATAAGGGCCCCCAGCTCCCTCCCCTAGGAAACACACCAGCACCTGCAACTTGAGTAAGCTGGCCTGCAAAACTGAATATGCTCATTTCAGTGGCTGAGAAGTAGCTGCTTTTTTAGTCTGCAGCTACCCTACATACAAGCAGAGTCTCAGAGTGGGGAGAACTTGAAGTTTGCTTCTAGTTTGTGTAACCTTTTCTCCTTTACCCCCCAATTAGATAAACTGAAATGCACCAAAGAGGAGCACCTCTGTACACAAAGGATGCTGGACCAGACTCTGCTTGACCTGAATGAGATGTAGAGCACCCCAGTCCCGCCCTGCCGCTGCTCCTCCCCTTGACCCCGACTCTGCCTGAGGCCAGCCCACTCGAAGCTGACCTTTAAACTGAGGGCTGATCTTTAACTGGAAGGCTGCTTTCTCCTCTTGCCGTCCACCCTCCCCTAAATCATGTTTGTTTTGTGTTTTGGGTTTGTTGGATGTTTTTTTGGGTTTTTTTTTCCCCTTCTGCCAAACTGTCTCTGCCTCGCCCCAGAGATTCCAACTGGGTTAAAGGCTGTGCACCTTTGGGAACAACATTTAAGGGAACATGAGCATAGTGCAAGTGTCTTTAAAAGCATGTTGTGATTTACACATTTTGTAATCACTTTTTTGTTTAATAGCCATTTGCAAAACATTCCAA